GACTGGGGCGCTTAATAATGAGTGCCCCTGGGCGCCAAAAAGCTTAACACGGCCCTGATTCTATGACTATGAGTGATCGTTGTAATTTGTGCGTTGCTGACTTGCTGTCGACAAGGACGAAGAGAAAAAACTTTAGCCGGAAAGAAAAAATCCCAGCGAAAAAGTGAGTGGCTATCTGCGTCTTCCCATCTTTTATACATTTTTACACAAAACCTGTATAAATGTACCCTGTTCAAGTTAAGATGACGCTACACTGACATTTGTTGTCTCCGCCTCACAAATGCGTAACATAGCACGTTTTACGCTCAGTAGATCACGTTGAGCTCCGTTCGCTTAAAAATTAGAGTGAATTTACCTCTTATAAAATTTAGAGGTTAATTTAAAATTAAAGGACTCGTTGAAAAGTTGAATTGGCTGGCGACAGTTGATGGCGCTGAGTTGACTCGTTTTACGGATACCTTGTGCCATACAAACATTATTTTGCTTTGAATTATAAATTATTTATACTTCGTGTTAGGCAACAGCACAAATTTATTATAATATAAAATATCCGTTTAAATTATTATCCACGGTAAAGCTGGATTGACAGTTATATGTTCAATGTTGTGTGTCGTGCGAGTGCGTGGTAACTATGTGGTTACAGCTAGTAACCATTTTTGTGTAAAAGTTGAGCTGTTATCAATTATTGGTATACTCCCTTTCGACTTGGTTATTACATGATACCAAAAAGTAACGTCTAATAAACAATGCGATTTTTATCAACACGACACGACAGTGGAAATAGAAAGGCGCGGGACTGCGGAATACAAAGCCATAATATTAGCCAATGCAAAGTTTTATATTTCATCACTATTGTCAGATTATGAAATTTTTTAGGGAGTAAAAAAAATATTCCATGAGGTACGACTCTACAGTGCAGCAATTTAAATTCTAATCAACTATTTCCAAATTTATTGTTTTTTATAGGTATGAGTTAAGCACATCTGCAGGTTCCCGTCACTTTATAGTCAAACAGCTACCCCGTGTGAATAAGGCGGTGTGCCAGGTGAATCGTTGTATACAATTAGATTTCTTTCAAATGATAATTGTTGACGTGCGTTTGAAATGAAAACGATTTATTGAGTTAAGGGCTAAAGAGCTTAACCTATGTATAGTATATTTTATTTTTCTGTGATTTATTGTTTATATTGTATGTGTATTGTACCGATACTAAGATTCACCTTATACGAGCTTTATATAGGCAATAAATTAAAATTATTTTGTTTTTTTTTTTATATTGAGATAATTCGTAGGTAAAATACTTAATATTTTACAGTAATTAAGTTATGAGCGCAGAAATCAAATTTAAATGTACAATGTAATTTCATCGAGTTTTTTATAATGGCGTAAGTAGATTGTCAATTAGACTTATTGTTTTCAAGTTATGGCCATTTAAAGTTGTATCATTTATCGTAGTACTTACATCCAAGGTGTATGAATACTAGTTCACGGCTACGTCGTCTGTCATGTGTTTTGACTGTAATACCTACAGGTTCAGACTTCAGACTCGGGTTAAGATTATTAACAGGGGCTGTAAAAATACATCTTAATATCTTGTTCAAATTGGGAAAAATATTTTTATTCATTTCTGTTATCCAATATCCAATACGTTTTTAGCATTCTATTGCCAGCACAAGAAATTCAGATTAAATCCTTAATATTGGATACAGATCATTCCGGAAGGGGATATATTTATCGTATTTTCAAAGTCTTCTGATGAATGTTTATTACTCAAAGGTACACTCAAGAGATTAAATAATGGTTCAACAGTAGCAACGAGTTTTATTCTTTCAATTGTTCGGAAGTTAATGTCGTCAGAGTGCGCATGCCGAACTTGGTAAAACATTGTATAATAAAATTCTTTGTACGCTGAATGCCGATTTATATTCCTGCTTGTTATGTTTTTCTCCGTGTACACAATTATAGTACACAATGCATATACATAGTGTAATATTCCAATAATCACATACCATATCAATATGGCAGTTAATTATAATGAAATAAAACAATAAAAAAAAAAAACCTAGAAACTATTATTTTTGCCGACTTGGTTCGTTAAATTTCCGATTAGGAAATCTAATTACCAAGTTCGGTGGGGTCTCACAATGTATCCCGCAACACCGGCCCTGTCTGTAATCTTAGACGAGCTCCCCGGGACACCAAAAATGTAGTCACTTTAACTATTAAGTAATCTGTTAATCTTAAATCGGGGACAATTTGTGATACATAGATATTAATTATTCAATTATTGTTAATTTTCGAGAAATAAGAAGGTCAGTCGATAGTAAATCATCAACGTAGCGTTGTTTATAATTGTTGAAATATAATTTAGACGAGTACATATTTCCGGTTTTATCGATGATATTACATTATTGTAAAATGTGTAATGGTTTAACATAAAACAATAATTATAATAATATTGAATACGACAATTATAATAATTGATTTTTTTTCGAGTTAACAAAATGGTGTTGGGTATTCAAATAAAAATAAATCGTAGGTTTATTGTAATTAAACAAATCAAGTATTTATCTTGACTTTTTTTATAATTGGCGGAGATTAAAATAGGAATAAATTCATCTAACGAGCGGTAATTATATTGTGATATTTTTTTAATTTATTATTCGCATATTTGACCTATCTATTAAAAATAAAAATTGATAGAGGTGGTAAAAAGTGGGGATATTTAGTGAAAGACTATATTACTATACGATTATGTTCATTTCATTAAAAATAAATAATAATGTTAACAATATTTAATCTATTATGATCTGCTAATATTGCGAATAATACCTACTCGCAAGACAGCAGGCAACTTCAAAAGCGGACCGTGAACGAACATAAGCATTGATGACTTCTGCATATCAACGAATGAAGGAAAAATTAAATTACTTACATTGTACACGAATCTACAATTAATATAGTCAATAATATATGTCTCGGTGTGTGAAGAAGCGGAAAATGGTCTTGGTCGATCCACTCAGAATCATAACATAAGGTACGAGCCGGGAATGACAAGATTTGATATCGTTCGGTTCGGCACAAATAAAGCACCTTGGTGATGGTGCTTTATGGCACATATAATATGTAAATATGATGGTCATGAATGAGAATAACTCGAGATTTGTGTGACCATACGGTTGTGGACAGTGAATAAGTGTCAATAGATTCTGATAAAGTAATAAATAACAATATAAATAACGTGCTACATTGTTATCATTAATAATAATTAGTGGAAATTTAAATAATAGTTTTCTCTCTCGTTATCCGCGTCGCACACACTATTCGCCGATCCGCGAGCGCAAATATTACATAATAATTATTACAAAACCATTCCGTTTGTCGTTGTATTTGATTTGATCGGTGTCTGCCGTTCGAGTGTACCGGTACACATATAACATACAAGATTGTTGTTTCTCTACGTTGATTGTTACTTCAAAATGGTAAGTAATCATGAAAATTAATACATATATCATTTCACCGTTAGGTAGGTATTGTGTAATATAATACATTAAGTTTGATATTAATTATATTATCTAAATAATTTGCATTATAAGTCTACATTAAATATATAATTATTAAAGTAATGACAAAATAAGAAATTAATATAATATAAACTATACAGCGAGAGATAAAGCATAGAAAAAAAGCATAACATTTTAATTTATTTTGAATTAAGATGTAAGTCAATATGTTATAAGTATACGTATATTATTGAGTTTATGGTGAAAATAATTTATTCTAGGTATTAGGAATCTGCGTGTGGCAGAGGATATCGTTGTAGAAAACTATTACAGATGGTTATAATTTGTATACAGTCTGTTGTAGTTAAATATGAATTAAATTAAAATGCGTTGTACATTGAATTGTATGAACTAAATATTAAAATATTTTATAAGCACCAATAAGCCTGTACCAGTGAATAAATTACACTTTCAATAAATGCGACAAACTATGAATGGATCGAAATAGTAGAATAAAAACGAAAAATCATACTGCGTAGTGCATATATTCTTCATAATATCCATGTCAAGAAAATACGTGTATTAATAATGTGTCGTAGATAAAATATTTATAAATTAGATTAGCTTGAGTAATGAAAAAGTTAATCATATTGAACGCTACGAAATACGTTATCGTTTATATGGTTTAATTTATGTATACAACTTGAATTTTCAACATAAGACGGTACTCCATTTTTCAGTCAATTTCTTTGTACTTTTTTGTGTATATAATTAGAAAATCTATACTTAACTTTAATTTTTATTAAAGATTAAATCTATATTATTATTTTTGTGTTTTTTTTAAACACTTATTGTGGAGACATTTTCATATTTCGAATCAGAATGTTTTTTTGCACACATTTATGTTAAATATTGGATTTTCAATTTATTTTTATTAATCATAAGTATTTTAAATTTAGATGAGCAGAGTATTGGAACATAAATAATTAGCCACGTAGTGGAATCTTTCAGTTTCCATAAAAAACTTTAAATGTTATGTGATATAATAATATATTAAAATATTATGAGTTTTCACGATATACATAAAGTTATCACGGTGACTTAAAGTTTCTATTATACTAATTGAATTTTAATTGTTATTGCTGTAATACTATTACTTAAAAAAATAATTTCTTATACAGATAAAGTCAATTAAATGTTTGGGTTATTATTGTACCTAGAAGTTTACGTACCAACCTAATTTATATCCTGCTCCATTTGTATGATAATATTTTATTTACAATGGATTGTCAGAAAAAATCTTTTTTAAACTATTCATCCAAATTGCAAACAGTAGGTAAATGGAAGACTCAATATTAAAATAATAATAAACTAATAGTTTAACATCTTTTTTTCGATACCGTTTGAAATGCATCCCAAAAATGCTCAATATTGATCGAAAATGTACTAAACTTAAATGTTTTTGTACGAATTTTGTAGGGATTTTAAAAGTACATTAAACCTTACGCATACTATGTATATGTGTACTACCCACCGGTATTATGTAGTAAAGGCTCGATGCTAATGTTCATAACCGTAAGAAGTATTAAATTCATAATTAGCTATTATCAGTATTCATTCACAAAAATTGATTATGATGAAAAAATATTATTTCTATTCGTATATTTTATTTAATAACCATTAAATATTGTTAAACAACTGTATCAAAACTGAAATATCACGTCCAATTTTCAACTGCCACATCGATGTTATATATATAGGGTGATCCAACAAGTATGCTCACCCTCTTTTTTCTTTAATATTGAAGTTTTTAAAAATCTGGTTTTTGGAATCTTTAAATATACTCAAAGACCATATTTTCATATTCTTGAGATTCTTTGTACCACTTAAGTACCACTTAAGGAATGTCCCGTAGCGATATATATATTTTTTTTTTTCAAATGGGAACCACACTTTTTTACTGTAAATTATTTAGCGAATATTTTTTTTTGTGAATTTTGATATATTGAAATCAAAATTCGAACGAGTAGTTTTCTAGTAATTACACATTTTGTGCTAAGGATAATATAGTTTATAATAGGGAAGAAGGATATGCTTATACAGTATACGTTGTTATCTATAGTCTATAAACACAATTTAAAAAATATGACATTTTATATTTATTTAGTCAAACACTTAGGTAAATACCAAGTAAAATCCTTCTTGATGTATTTAGTTATTTTTCTTATTTCATGTGTAGAACTGTATAATCATATCCCCATTATGGACTATTTTCCTTAGTACAAATTGTTCAATAACTAGGAAACTACTCGTTCCAATTTTGATTTCGATACATCAAAATTCTCAAAAAAATTATCTGCTAAATAATTTAAACAAAAAAAGTGGGGTTCTCATTTGAAAAAAAAGGTTCGTATCGCCACAGGACACTCCTTAAGTGGCACAAAAAAATCTCAAGAATATGAAAATATGGTCTGAGTATATTTAAAGATTCCAAAAATCAGATTTTGAAAAACTTCATTATTAAAGAAAAAAATTGGGGTGAGCATACTTGTTGGATCATCCTGTATATATATATACACTTCTATTGCTATATCATGTTACCTGAAAGATATTTTGTTTAATTTAAGAAAAATATTTTCAAAAACGGCAATCTCATACCGTTTAAAAGTAACATTAATCACAATTTATTTTATCTATATGATGCCCAACTAATCTAATATATTTATTTAAAAAATATGTACTCTTGATCGAATCTGTATAATATACCTAGATGGGATACTGAACTATTGAATTCTAGCTAGCAGCTCAAACCAAAAAAAAATTGCGTTGGCTTTATTATTTGAGTATCAAATTCTAGTAAATAGTTAATATTATTATGTTAACATAATATGATATACCTAATAGACTTATAACGTCATATTCAAATGGTCAACGAGAATATATTTAAATTGGTTGTTGTACGATTTATAGATTTCGATGGGGTTCCATACGTTGGTCTACCTAATGTATACTGCAGTGTTCATCGTGTCACTGGTCGGCAACGGGCTAGTATGCTATGTGGTCATGTCCTCGACGCAAATGCAATCGGCGACCAACATGTTCATCGTGAACATGGCCGTCGGTGACCTGGTCATGACTCTGTTCTGCGTTCCCTTCCCGTTTGTCACCTCGTTCCTGTTGCAGTATTGGCCGCTGGAAAACTACGTGTGCCAAACCTTCACATTCGGCAAAATCGTTGCCGTGTTGGTAAGTCACATTTGCTGGCGGGAGGTAAATATAGAAGTATCGTATTACCAGGGATTTTATAATATTTTTTTGTGAAGAACAACAGAATCTCCAAAAAAAATATTCAGTTCTGAGTGCGGTTTGCGGTTTATGACAATTTGTTACCTATTGACCGTGTTAATGTGACTAAAAAGGGGCGATTCCATTGAATAGTAGAACAATTAGTGTAATTTTGTGAAAAAACGTATTTTGAACGTATATTTTTTTGAATTTTATAAGATTTTTTTCAACAACATTATTTTAGTAGCTTTAAAGAACACCATTAGTTATGTTGATATTCAGATTTTAGGTTAGGTTTAGGTTAGGTTAGGATTTTAAGTTTGTGTAACACGGCGCATCGTATAAGCAAAATAGGCACATTACTGCGTTGGGGTAACACATTTCAGTAAATCACGTCTGATATTGTGAAATACTGAAATGTTGGATGAATGTATGATATCAGTGGTAAAATATCAACGCTTGAAATCGTTTAATACGTAGACACATAGTTGTATAATATATATAATTTTATCTTCGACTATAAATTGTACGAGATTGTCGGCATTGTAGGTTAAATGTTCACAATTTAATTTTTGTTCGGAAGTTTTGTCTTTTTCGGGTAACAGTGCGTATGTGTTAAATGTTGTTTTCAAAACTAAGTAAACAAATAAAAGTATACATTTTTGGATTGTTTACGAAAATATTGAAAATATAAAATATAATGCAAATTGGTATATTAAAACGTTTTAAATTTTTGCCATATACATACTTGGGGATTTGTTCGAATATTAAAAATATGAATTGCATTGTCATGTTTCGTACAGGTGAGTGCATATACTTTGGTGGCCATCAGCGTCAACAGGTATATAGCGATTATGTGGCCATTGAAACAAAGAACTAGAAAGCACCAGGCTAAATACATAATAGCATTAGTTTGGATAATGTCTGTCATTACATCGTTTCCTTTTTTACTCGCTACTTCGTTAGATCAGGTAATATTTATTTTTAAATAGTTAATTATTTTGTTCATTCATTATATTTTCTTTTTTCTAGAATATAAAAATGCATGTTATTATTTTATAACATCGACTTTAATTTATTCAAATTAATTACGAAAATAGTATTTAATATTTAAATTTGTCTTCTAACACGCAAGGGTTTTTTTGATTTTGAGTAATAATGCTGTTGATTGGTTTCTGTCATTTTCGACTTATAATATAAAATATAGCTAAAATTTGAAACAAAAATATTAAATTAATCAAATTATACTACTTAGTATCTACTTAGATACAAAAATGTATTTAATGCAAAAAATATTTAACATGTTTTAAGTATAAAGTCATAAGTACAAAGTCTTATCATAAATTAAAAGTAATGAATATTTGAATAATTTATAGACTATAGAAAAACTTAAGTTACAACACTTATAAATAACTGTATTCCAATTCACTCTTACACTTCTCAATCTGTTTTTATCTCTTTAAATCAGAGCCCTACTTAGGAGGTTTGCGGCCGGGGCTAATTTTTTGGTTTGGCCCTTTAACCTAAATTATAAATTCAGTTCGTTTTTTAATATTCAATTAAACGTTTTACTGTTATTAAATGTACTACAGTCCAATCAAAAAGAATCATTAAAGGTCATAACTCACAAATTGTGATTACACCTAGATAATGAATTCCTATTGCTAACTCTGAAATTTAATCAGAAATTTTTAATTTTTAATTAAAAAATAATTTTTCTACCTATATTATTTGTATACAAGTATAACTTTAAAATATTTATTTAATATTAAATTAAATTAAATTTCTTACTTTTATTTTTTTATATATGTTTTACGTAAGCTTTAACTTGAATACATGTGTATAATATTATGTCTTGATTCGTGATAGTATGAAAGTATCAATTTTATGTACCTACTAAATACCTATGTACAATATTAAAGTTTATTAACTATAGTCGGTTTTTATTACTCGTTAGAGATACGACATTTACTTTTGCTCCGACAAATGGCCAAGTGAATACTTCCGGCGTCTCTTTAATGCAGCATTATTTATACTGCAATGTTGTATTCCATTTGCCGTCCTGTTGTTTACTAATGTTCACATTGGGATTGTCGTGTGGGGTAAAATACCTCCTGGCGAGGCACAAAACTCCAGAGACATTAAGATGGCCAAGTCAATAAGAAAAGTAACGTTTTATAAAATATTAAGATCGTCAAAATATGTCACCTTTTTTTCGATGTCCATAGATGATAAAAATGATGTCAACCGTGGTCATAGCATTCATCGTTTGTTGGCTGCCATATGATATCCTTTTGGTAAGTGCTCCTTATTTTTTACTTTTATTGTAAACATTACCTCACAGACACTCGCATCACATTAACTATTTAAATAAACTTAAAAATTAAAACGATAAATTATCAAACATCACTCACCAACAGACATGTGCTTATGTAAATGTTGATGAAAGTACGGTTTAATTAATTTATCAATCCTCTGAGGAATATTTTATGCTACATGCTCCAAACAATGTCTGGACCAATTTAATAAATATAAACAAATTATTGTTGAAAAGTGTCATTTAATTATCCAAACAATACATTTTTAAATTAAAAACATGGTTTGAATAAATTAAAGTCAAATATATAACTATTAATTAATATTGACAAAAAAACAATTTTTTTCTCCAATAAATGATATGTAATATAACAACATGGTCCACTAAGTTATTATGAATAAATTGAATAATGGTCTTTATGACACTTATGTAAGGCAGAATAAATTAAAAGCATAATTTTTCTTACGTATTGTACAGTTTTTTTGCAATTTTTTAACTATTTAAAATGTAGATACTCGTATTTAAATTAAAAATAATTTTATTAAAATGTATTATGGATTTATATTCATGTAGACACTTATAATACGTAGTATTTATTTGATTTCTCGATCGATTTTCTCAACCATGAACTATGTGCGATTTGCATTCGGTAATAATATAATTAAATCCATACTTTCGGGTGACTCGTCCGTCGCTGAATATGTTATGGTGATTGGCAAGGCGGTACCTACTATAACCATCATCAATTATTATAGTAAATCGTTTAAAAAATTTAGGTCGACATTATTATCGTAAACGTTTTCTATATTTCGATATACCGTTCCCATACACAATGTGTGCGCTTACTAGTTGCCTATCCTAACCGAGGTTACACATATAGGTCGATCATTTTTATTCGAATTTTCTCCCCACCATAACGTATAATATGATTCCTCCTAATTTTTTTTTGTAAATAAAAAAGGTTTTAGTCCTATTATAGTTGCTTCCTAATGTTAGGTAGAAATGGTAAAAGTGATTTAAATATTTGTTAGCTCCTAAAATAGAATTTACTCCTAAAGATTAATTGAGATTTGTACTTTTGAAGTAGTAATGTATGCCTCTTGTACGCATTGTTAGTTGTTACATTGATAATATACATGAGTGATTAGAGATATATATTTTATTTGGATTTAATTTTACATTGATCTTATACTATTATTACTTGTTTATAATTTAAGAGATTTTACTGTAAATCTTACTCGTCCTTTTATTAAACAAGTTGCTTTAAATAATATAATAATCATAACACAGCAAATTATTTACATTAATTTATTTATTTGCATGGTATTGTTATATTTTAACTAAGCTTATGAACCACATTCAACCATTACTTAATTCTCCATGTAGGGAAGCAACTCATTAGTAGGTACATTCATTTATTTATAATTTACTGGCAGAGCCCTAAAAATACAAAATAGTATATCACAAAAAGCAGATTAAAATAAGACGAAAATAAAATTATTAAATTAGAGAGGCAGGATTGTTCTCATCGGCTCATTTTTCATATATTTACTTTTGAGCAGGTTAGGTTAGTAACAACCTGTAACCTTGTAACAACTAACAACTTCTATACTTTTTTGTAGTATTCTTTGATTTAATAATTTAGTATTGATTCGAACTTATAATTGTCTAAACCAGTGGTTCCCAACCTTTTTGGTACTACGGACCACTATGAGAACTTTCGATACGTCACGGACCACCTCAATTGTATACCTTATTTTTCTTACAAATAAAAATCAATTTTTTTTCACATATTTTAGAATTTTGATTATTATTATATGTATAAGAGGCTTTTAATAACATGGGTTTCACTATGTAATATAAATTTATAAATAAACGACGTATTATACACGATTGTCAATAATTAGTGTTATGCCTCCAAGGAAAATGAAATTATTAAAAATTTTTTACATTTTGTAAGTATGGCTCGCGGACCACCTGACAATGTCTCGCAGACCACTAGTGGTCCGCGGACCATAGGTTGGGAACCTATGGTCTAAACCGTTACTATATATCAATGGTATGTGAATTTATAAAAATACAATTTTATGAGGTGTATTTTCAATAAAATATTTTAAACAGTACGTTTCATATTTAATACAAATCGATAGTCGCACAATCACGTGAGGTGGTAATTAAAAAAAAAATGAATCAACTATTCATTGATCGAGTTTATTAAGTTAATATTTTTTTCTCTTTTAAAACTTTTAAAGTAAACATGTTGTTTGTTAATAGTCCATTTACTTATAGATTAAAGTTTTTACGAAGTTCTTAACGTTGACTTAACTCAACGGCTAGGTAAATCAGGTTAATTTTCTTGCCCTGCACATTTTTGGTTTTGAATAATTTAAATGCGAAAAATGACTACAGAGGCAACTATAAATTGTGTATACACAATAGAATTTTTGATTTTTCGTTACTTTTTCTTCAAATATGATGTGGTTGTTTGCCACTCTTTTCTTGCGAAAGACCCATTTTTACCTCAAAAGCGTTCGTGATAGATTTTTAGCTTAGACTTCTTTCATTCTCAACACGAGGACTATTCGTGAAATCCATACTCCATGCCCTCGACTCTTTGAAGCTTACCAATGCTTCATTCCCATTTAAATGGGTGTCTGGAAGTTCGAGACCTTCTTGCAAGAGCTCTTCTTAGAAATTATAATTCCTTGTCTTTGTACTAGCAAACAGATTCCTGTCTGGAATATACTTACTTCTCCATAGTTACACCACTTTTGTACTGCCGTAACCACCCCGAACGGCCAGAACAGAATATCATAACCCCCAATGAATTGTGTGTTTTTAAATTTATACGATACGTTTACCCGGTATTATAATAATAAATTGTTATAGATTTACATTTAAATTGAATTTCACCTCTTTGCAGCTATACTGCCATCTGCCATCCGTGTCCCTATAATAATAAATACCTAAATAAAACAATGGCTGGATGCAATTTGTAAAATGTCGGGAGGCAATTATGCGCTATTATCATCATATTGAGGCCTGGTGTGGCTCGGTGTTTAGCCTCAGTCACTAGCGTGTTCTGAGTTCAAGTATCGACCGGAGTCGCTGGTTCTCGGATGGGTGACCACCCGGGTTTTTAGTCTTCGCTCCACGTACACATGTTCCTTCGTAACCTCCCTACGAAAATGCCTATAGTCATAGTGGCCGATGCTTAAGAGGACGTTACCCATGCATTTGTTGTTTTTGTCTTATGCGCGTATGGCATTGCAATTTTTTATTGACTAGTTTCAATGGTATGCTGTTAGTTTTGTTGTTAGAGTGAATTTATCTATTATCAAACTTTTAAGTATGAATATTGTCTGTGCCCAAGCTGCGGTTTTTATTCAATATTTTAATTTTCAAGCGAGATATGAGCATTTTAATTTTGTAATATATCATGCTTGAATATTGAAATATCGAAACAATCGCCAACCTAAAAGTTTGATACCAGCAGGTCAATTTACTCTATTATCAAAACCAATAGCTCACTTTTGGAATGTTGTACGAGACAACAAACGCATGTGGGTAGGGTCCTCTTAAGGTCGTTTGAAAACGAAATTTAATTTAAAAAAATCATATCATCATAATATGGTATCGACCCAATGTCGCAGGTGTTGAGGGCGTATGGGATGTCGCTGCGAGCGTGGAGCAACCAGCCGTACGTGTGGTTCGCGTTCCACTGGCTGGCCATATCGCACACCTGTTACAACCCTCTGATCTACTTCTGCATGAACACCCGGTACCGGGCCGGTTTCGTGTCGGCCCTGCGCAACGTGCCGGGACTCGGTTACGTGCAGGCCAGACGCGACGGCGACGAGGTGCCGGACGCCGAACGGCTGCGCGCGCCGTCCGAGGTTTTCGTCTGACAGTTTTTGGACGCGCGTCTCTGCCGATTTTCGTATCGAATAATATACTACTTAGTACCTATCAATGTTATGACGTCACAAGTTTTCCGAGTACGTGAAAGACTCCAAAGTTCGGCGTAAAAGATATTACTTCCATGGACCTTGAAGTCTACGGATATTGCCATATGAGTGTCGCGTGTACCTGTTTGCAACGCTCAAAAAACCAAAATGCTGTATATTTTTAAAAATTTTTTTTTATAAATAAATTGTCGTGTATCGTTGTGTCTAATGAACTGTTCAGGAGCTGGGAATAATAAAGTGTATATACTTCAAAAGTGTTTAAGACTTACCCGAGCTCCGCGACACTGCAGCTTTGTGGGATCGTAATTTTTATTGATATAATAATAATAATTATTGTTAAATAACTATAAGTTGTACTTTAGAAATTAATTACTATGCACATCATCATCAACACTGTATTCGTTTATATTAGCATACACCCGGTCACATTGACGGGTATCAGGCAATCAGTGGCGAAACGAACCTAAAATAAGCAAACTAAAATTGACCCACCACCGACCCATCCACATTCCAACAATTTATAATAAATACAACTCACAAGTACAGTTATATTACTGTTTGCCTACTATGATTATTATTTGGTAATTATTTTTCTCTTTCATATTGAGCACCCACCCACCCACTCACCTATCTATAAATATTAAAAAAAATCGAAAAGCAACTGCTTCTCAAATACAATTTTCGTTTGGCCACTTCACGCGAGTGATCCCGCCATCGTGTCCCGTTGGTGGGTTCTATTTTGTATAAATATATAAGTTCTAAATACAGTGTTGAAATTATGATTCCTTCCGTGATATTGTTATTCTTTATTTTTGTCTTAGCACATATTTTGATAATATAGTTTAGTTTTAACGGATTATATAATGTACCTAATATAATGCATATTATTGTTTGGCGGCATGCTTTTGTTTGGATGTTATATTATTTGTCAATATAATAGAAAATTTATATTTATTAGTATGATTTGGATTGCAGGCGCCTGACTTAATATTATAATATTGTCATAATTTGTTAGTATATGAGGTATAATATAAGCACGCTCTCTATAATCGAGAGTATGCGACTGCCATTTGGCTTCCCAGTCTACCGAAGAATCTGTCTCAGGTTCTAAGGACATGGGTGGGACAAATTGAACTAGTGCAAAGTAAATCCTTGGACTACATTATATGCAGCATATTATTAACCTATTTGGTATCTGTAAGTAGGTACCGAGGATTATAATATAATGTTCTATGTTGCCTAAATATATCTACAGGCTACCACGGTTACCACACCAGTAAGTAGTATAACTGTAGCTGATTGAATAGGTATATTGTACAGTATTTTATAAAGTTCATTAGTATATACCTAGTTGAATGTTTAGTACTATAAAAAAAAAATAGTTATGCACTCCAGCACTGCTTGATTTAGGCGATAGTGTCATGAGTTAAATCTTTAATCGTCTTACGATCTGTACTGGCTTAGTCAATTCCCAATATATTTTTAGCTTAGCTAAGTTGGCGCTTTTTATTTTGTGTGAGGTACGATAGTATACGTCAATAATTTTACTACCATGACTTTTAGACCTTATCGACCACAGGTAACAATTTTACAGCACAGTTCAGTCTCATGACTTCATCTATCACAAACATTAATTTCTCAGCGCAGTTCATTCTCAAGGTAAGGTGTTAACGTTTACAAAAAAATGTTAACCACAACAATTGGTCAGAAACTCTTATAATATTTAGATAAAAAAAAAACAATCATAGAATAATTCACTTAGTCTGTGTTCAATAGCCGTCGCTTGTCCGCGTAGAACCTTTATACAGACAGTTCTACCGGACTCTGCTTCGGAAGAGAGAATCGTGCCTATGTAGATTGAAGTTAGGATCATTAATTATTTAATTTTTATCCAACGATATCTCTCATTCAGAATTAGTATAATGTTGGAAATACATCCATTCGATCAGGGAAAATTTAGCCTTAAATAAAAAACCAATACAATAATATGTCCTACGTTCTAAGCTTCTACAGCATATTATAAAAACGTGGAGACACCGAGTCCTTTTTTGTTCATGCTTACATCATTACATAATGTGACATAATTTTAAAGCACATAATATTTCAATCAACTTCTAGTATATAACATTCGAGTATTCTTAATTCTTAAATAATAAATATAATATTAAACTTTTTTTTCAGATATAGAAAAACATAAAAAGTATAAGACGTTTTATAATATGAATGAAATTTGATCTTGAACATAAAAACTGAATGCAGATGGTCTACATCGAATCTTAATGAAAGCTATTAGAGGCTAGTAAAACTCCAAATAGCTAACACAAGCAGGTTAGAGCTGGTACCTAATGTAGTTTTTATAATACAGTATTGGTCGTTTTTAAGTTTTTTTTTCATTGTCTATTATAATATAATAATAGTGAAAAGTATAGAAAAATATAATTGAACATTCGTTTTTTTGATCTAATTTTCAAGAACATATACAACTTTAGAACGAGACATACATTATCAGAAAAAAATAAAAATAAAATCCATTCCTATTTTCTAGATAATAATATGAATAAAAATTACCTAGTTAACCAACGATCATATTAGAAGATATATTTTTTAACTAATTTATTTGTTTTTTAATGATTTTTCTAGAAGTCGTTTGATGAGTCATGACGTTTCATATCACTGCTTATTCCTTTTTTGAATCTATCAATCACAAGTTATGCTCTTTGGCCCTGTTCTGATTATTTGAAGTTATAGTGTCACCCTCTAAACTCGTCGCCAACTGCACAGTGGAACATTAAACTTGCTTACCTGTTTTAAAAAAATTAAATTTTGATATAAGTATAGAGAATAAATAAAATTGAGCTGTAGGATTTTGGAAAATAGAATAAATAAACTTTTTTGTGATGTTATGCGTCTGTGTGTAGCAGGAGAGGGCATTATTTTAAAATCCACTTTAGTTCATCATATTCGTCAACATGGTATATACACACCACGCTAAGTGATTACACTTGTATAATTATACGCAGATAAATATTTTTCATTGTTTAATTTTTTATTTTTATTTAGTCGTACTGGAAACAGTATTTTTTAAAAACAGTAAACCTTCATAGTAATAATTGTATTTTAACTGTATTTATTAACATTTTAACGTTATTATTTACATTTAAACGGAATCATTCACACAAAATAAATATTACTTAATTTTTAAAGTAAATATATTCCATCAAATTACACAGCATATAATACTCGCGAGACATGGCACATTATGTCCTACACGTGCAATGTAACTGACGGGCAATAAGCTGAATATTACTTAAACACGGATATAATATAATATATATTGTATAGACACAGACATTGTCTATGTTTATTTTCGTTTTTGAAAAATTACTCGAAGAAAATGGGTTTGGATGTGGTGAAGTGTGTTGGTATTTATAAATAAAAATAATTTACAATGATGTTATTTGTGCAGTGGTCGAAGTGGTTTTTCATCCCTTCACACATCGTACATTTTTTCCAAAATATCACATCCTCCAGAAAAGTTCTAATTTTCAACAATTAAAATAACAACTGCTTATTGTTGTTCATGTTTTCAAGAAAACATACACAAGACTAAGACTTGCCCATCGCTACAACCGTCGAGGTAAATAAAAGAATTAACAAAAATACATTTTTATTATGATACATTAAAGAGATTATACTAGAAACATGACGCTTAGGGTTTAATTTTTAAACTCTTCTACCCCAATTATTGTTTCGAAAAAATGTAACTATTTCACAATAACAACATAACGTATATAAATAGCGTATAATCAATGCTCTTTGATTAATACAAAAAAAAAAATAAAAACCTCTGAAAATGCATTTTTGACGAGAAGACGCGTCTCGCATTAACATTAAAAATAGTGATCATAATTCATAACAAGTAACGACTGTTGAATTCAAAAACTGCACACTTTTAGTAGGTTAAAACAGCACACTTTTTTTTTTCAAGGTTGTTGTATCAAAAAACCACATACTTAATAACTAATTTATAATTGCACAAAATTGATATATTTTTAAAATATAAAATATGTTATTAATATTGTATTTATAACTTATGTTTATTGAAAAAAAAAAATTATACATAAATTGCCTACTGTTAATTTGGCCATTATCGTACCCAAATTTAAAAAAAATTCACACGACTTTAAAAATTACTGAAAAAACATTTGCTTTAAACACTTTACATTATGTAGGTTATCATTTTACACCTATACACACTCGAATACAACCAACTAATCTGCTACTAATTGAGACTTAAATTGACTTCACTGATTTGATACACGATTACAATCGTAGTATTTTATCAACATAACAAAATGTTCAATTAAAAAAATGCGGTTTGCATATTTAAACAAGTGTGATTGATTTTACATTTTTATCCAACTAAAAGTGTGCGGAATTTCACTATATATGTACGATAGGCGGCTTTGGATGGAAATCTAGAATCCAGAAGTACGATGGTCCCTTCATCTTGGTATTATTCAAATGGGTCGAACAATACTTAGCCCCCTTAAAGGCGTTAAAAGAAAAATGAATGGTTCACAAGTGTACCTACTTACCTAGCTTTATTGAAATGTAATTTTGTTGGTCGGCTCCAGTGTTTTGAATTTTTGAAATATATAATTTGTTTTTTAAATGTTTGAATGAGAAAACGATGAAAAAAAATTGGTCAATGAAATATTTTGGTTGTGTTTGCGTAAGTTATGCTTGACAAAGATTTTCAATAATTTCCTATGAATAAAGTTAAATTTTCTTTTTGTAATTTCAATATTAACCAAATGTACCTTTATGTTAAAATTTAATCTTGGATGGACTCTAATTTCTGTGGTTTCATCATTGTAAACGGTGAATTAATGAGCATTTATTTTAAAAGTTATACAGACGCATAAGTCCTAGTCGTTCAGGAAAAAAACAGTGATTTAAAAATGTATAGCACGATTAACAATTCGTCGCGTTGTGGGGTAACCGTGGTAAATTTCTGCACTCCCTCCCCCACCGGTATGTTTGCCGAGTGCCGCCTAGTGTGCCAAACGGACCGGCATAAATATTACGAATTGTGCGGTTTCGGTCCGCCGATCGCCGTCGCCGCGCCGTGACGGAATCGAAGACAAAAGCGTGCGGTTTTCCGTCGCGACAAAGCGTTTTCCCGGATGTCCGGCCACCGTGAACGACGACGACCGCGGCGTCGCGTGATGAGCGGTTCCGGTGGCGCTCAGAGCGTTTCCTCGTGCCAGTTCCGGCGGCTCCGGCCGTACGCCGCGGGCCGCCCGTTGAACGACTTGAGCCGTGACTTAACCGACACGAACGACGACGACGTGTTAATCCGGTGCAGGCCGTCCGCCTGACTGGGGTCGTTGTGGCTGTTGTAGTGGTGCGACTGGTGCTGTTGGGCCCGCAAGTAACCGCCCAAGCACCGGCCGAACCCGGGCACGTTGCGCAGGACAGCGGTGAAACCGGCGCGGTACCGGGTGTTCATCCAGCAGTAGATCAGCGGGTTGTAGCAAGTGTGCGACATGGCCAGCCAATGGAACAGGAACCAGACGTACGGCAGGCTGCTCCACGAGCTCAGCGACGGTTCGTGGTCCCACAGGATCTGCGACACACAAACGTGTAAATTGTATGTTTATTATGGCACAAACATTATCGTTTATCGTTGCCCGTTGGGGTAGGCTGACGCATTGGCGACGATAACGTTTGGCCACACTATCGTTTAAACTGTGGTTATCGTTGTAGTTAAGGGATTTCATAATATACTGGTCAGTGATAGGTATACTCGTATAAGTTTTTTTGACTACTGTACGAAAAGAAGTATTTTTCTATGGTATAACATTTATTAGACAGCGGTCCCCATCGTGGGGGAGGGGGGGGGGGAATTTAGTTATAATTAATTACAAAAATAATTAAGTTATTTTACAATGTGTGAAATTGAAATCACTATATTAGTTTTCAGATTATCGGGCATCGATAACACATAACAATTATATATTAGGTATAACGATAGAGTCGATAGACCGGGAGATATTATTTATGTTTTATGTTATTATTTTTGTTTTTATATTCAATATTTTTTTCTTATACTTAATATCATTACTTCGCAAGTTGATTTATGATAAATTTTTAAAATGATGAGAATAATAAAAGTAAATAGTTGTATATTGTATATAATTTATAGTTATTTTGTATGTTTTATTGCTACCGCTCACAAAAAAAATCGCCTAAACTTTATTGTGAAGGGGGGGAATGAGATTTTAGTAAATTTAAAAGGGGGGCGTAGAATGTAAAAGGTTGGGACCGCTGGATTAAGGGTTATATATATATATAATTACTGTGAATATTATAGATATACATAAATACTTGTATAGACTTTTATAGACATTGTCTATTAAAACAAGGATATTATCCTTAGTGGTAGTCGATGCCGTGTCATACTAATGGGTATTACGGTATACTATGTAAATAACTATATATATATATCCTAACCTGTGTACCGCTAAATAGCTTGTCGATAATATTGTATAATATAGTTTAAGGTATTCGATTTGTATTTAAAAATTTCGATTTTTGTAGTTAGAAAAAATTAAGACATCGATAAAATTGACATGGTTAAACATTTGATGATTATGGTATAATGTAAAATACTCCGGAGAAATCTAGCTATATAATTATCGTTGTGGTAATTTTTTTGAAACTTGAAATCAAAAATCAATTGTTAAGCTTGTCTCACTAGTCACTATGTGTTAAAAATATTTAAAATGAACTAAACTTCCTCTTATAATTATTTAATTCAATTATTGTCACCTGTATCTACTCGGGTAGATCACTCACTTTCTTTTCACCGTAAATCGCTACCAAATTATCACACGTTACAATGGTGCCTTTTAAAATTTCACAGTAAACTATATAATACATACACTTAAATAATACATATTATATAAAAGGTACCTATAGCTACGCGATTATATACTATATCGTTCATGAGCGGGGGAAAGGGTTAAAAACAATATTAAGTGTTCTAAAAAGTTAGGCTTAAATACATTTCAAACTTTATTCCGCATATTATGGTCTGGGTAAGTTCTGTGCTGTCACGAGTTAAGATTAAGTTTTATTATTATTATTATTTTAACGTCTATATAGAAAGCGTGAATTGTAGGATTTCAGAAAGAGGGATATTTAATGCTACTGGTTCCATATGACCGTGGGTGTACGAGAGGTAAAAAAAAGATGGAGCAGTCTTTTGCAGGAGTCACGGGTTCAAGTGCCAACACGTCTATAATATATGGCTGCTATATAACAGTGTGTTCTAATATTTCAGCGTCGTTTCCAGATAGTTTAGACGCAAAACGTTTTCGCACTTCACTCCGCCGGCTCTGGTTTCATTCGCTCTACGTCTATGTAAAGCACACGAGATTGCCCCTTTTTCATCAAGCAAGGTGAGGGCGGTAATAATATTGCGTGGGCGTGTGCAGCGCCGGGGGCTAAGTGTCCAAGCGAGGCAATAACGAGCGAAATGCGGTGGCCTCGGTCGGTTTGAAAATGGTCGCTTTGGTAACCCAAGTACTGCAGATTGTTTACCCATGTGGTCGCTTAGAGCCGACCAAACGACGACGCCGACCGAAAGTGGGGTACTTGGGAGGGGGGCGGGGGAGTTAATCGTTGCAGTGGAGATATTATAGATCCACAGGGTTTTGAATACGAGATAATTATATGAGGATATCCCCTAGTGCGCCTCGTTTTTAATTTTTTTCGTTTTCATAACCCAAGTAAGTCCTCGGTCCACAGCTGTAGGTATCCATTGCATAATGGAAGTATGTGCAAGACGATTTAATTCGTCGAAGACAATATATAAATAAATATCAAGACATTAAAATATCAAGATTAGATCAAAAGAATGGCATTTTAACACCAGCCTAGAGTATACATTTTTCTTAGATAAGAAAAAAGTGGAACTCTCACCCAAAATTAAGGGTGTAGGCTAGACTAATAAATAGCAACATAAATAAGAATCAAAAAATATTTTTGGGGTGTACGCCAGTTCATCTGCTCTTGATGCGTTTCGGAAACCTAACCCTAAAGCTAAACTGGGACTTCCTCAAGCTACTTGGAACATTAAACGAGGGTCAATTCGAGACAGACTCTGGAAATTCCTGATAATTATATAAAGAGAGAGAGAGAGAGAGAGAGAGAGAGAGAGATGCCGTGGAGCTTATAGGTGCAATGCCGAATAATCGATGATGAGAATTAATAATATTATGCAGGCGGAGTAATTGAGTATTATTATTGTATAAAAAAAGTTGTAACTATACATTTTGCGCATTATGTGATTATTATTATGCGAGAGATGTAAAAAGAAGGACTCTAAAAAAGCCATCATCGTGAATCCTTGTGAGACGAACGTTTAAATGAAAAGAAACGCGTTTAACAGCTCGAATGGATAAAACGTGATTAGTCGAGTTTCAGTAAGTTTATATTATAATAGGTACTCACCTACTGTTTTTAAACACTAGATTATATTGTTAATTTGATAATACGGTTTGTACATTGATTACACATTTTTATCGCCTTAGGCATCTTTTTTTTTCTTTTTTTTCTCTGTAGTAATAATATAATTAATATATTATACAATTAGGCATTTAATTAAACAAAACATTAAAAATGGTGCAACCCGGAGTTTGTAGAGACCGGAAATAGTAACATTTGAATCGTTTTTCCAGTAGATTGTGCCCGGAAAACAAATATATAATTAAAATTATATACTTATCAAATATATTTTGTTTCGGCATCTGAAACTACCGAGGACAAATTTTGGTAAATTATCTATCTTGACGAAAAATATTTTTACTGTCTTTAGTTTTGTAATATTTAAATTCTATTTACTCTATCGATATCATAAACACAGTTTTTCAACCATTTAAATGGCAGCCGTCAAGTCACTAAGACTCAAACCGGATGATGAACATCAAATGAGCAAACGATTTGACGTTATTCAAAATGTACCGAACTTTTTTTTATCAAAAAGTTTACTATAATTTTATCATTGTACTCTAAATTGTAATTGTTTTAAGTGTGAATGAAATTGCATTGTATCAAAAGCGTTTTAAAATTAAGTAGGTACTAAAGACGAGAAGCTGTATGAGAAAATGAACAGATTTTTTCGAACAAAGGCCTCAATATACACGTAACTACATAAATCCATTGTAAAACAATTTACATTTATGTAAATAATTTAATACCTAAGTAGATATTGAACAAAATTAAATTATTGCGGTAGGGTTCATTATGATTAATTTGTTACAAAGTATCTAAAGAAACGAATTAAAACATAAGTTTGAACACCAAATAAAGAATGATAAACTGTGCAGTTTAGTAATATCGCAGTGGAAGTTTTATATAATTCTTTCAAAACTATTCAAAACTTTAAGTTGTTATATAGTTGTAAAACATCTTAATTTATTGGCTATTGTCATGGAAATACCTTGTAAAATTGATAAGCTCATATTCTATTAAGTATTTAGAATTTACTATCTTCTATTTCTTTAGTTTGATTAGTTTTTTACGATAGGGGTATTACATTCCTAAAAAGTCTTACGAAAGTATATTCATTTTTCTAGGAAATAGTAAATTGTTTATATTGTTAAAATCGATTTATTATACATAAAAAAAAAATTAATGGTAAAATATGTATCAACCATTGCTACAATCAATTTTCATGTTCTATTTTATTTGTAAATCTATAAATTTTACGTTTGTTTCTCGACTAAAAACCCATCTTTCTTAAATATTATTTTTCTCTAGTTTGTTCATTAAATACTTAAACAATTATCAGAAATCTGTGAATCTGTCATAGGTAGTGCAATTTGCTTGGACTTTTTTGAATTATTTATATTTTTGGTAATAAATTACTGTTATTTGTCTAATAAATAGTCTACCAATGGACTAATGGTATACATATAATCATAAAATATATTGTGGTATGTGTGTTGTTTTTGTTTGATATGCCATTCATATCCTGCCATTTAAAATTGTAACTTTTGTTTTAGTTAATTTCTTATGATATTTAGGTACCTATAAAGGTCAAAGTATAATATATAGATATTTAATAATAAAATAAAATAATAATAATAAAATCGTCACAATTTATTTATTTGAATTTCTTATAGCAATGTTAATATTATAAGCAATTTTTAAAATAATTAATTTTGAGAAAATGCGAGCATAATTTAAAAAAAAAGGCTTTTTAAACTGAAACACTATAACGTATGATAAATAATAATATATGTATAACTATAAGAAATTTATTTAAATTTAAAATGAAACCTTTACAACTTCAAAGTGAATAACACAATTTAATTGAATAAGAAAAATATACAATTCAAAAGCTTATAGAAATAATAACAGTGCCTCATTCATTTACGATAATATGTTTTTGGATTGCTGAGGCTTATGTTTTTCATCGGAAAACTTTCAAAAAAATGTATTTTATTTTCTTAGATTGTAGTTGAAAATAAATACGTTTCGTTAGTTCTTCAATTTACAGAATCCACAGTAGTTCACATGTCATCGTTACTGATTTTTTTTATAGAGTTTATAAGCTCATTTTAACAAATCACGTTACGTAGGTACTTTGATAATCTTTTTTCCGCCACATTAATCTTCTTTTGAACTTTTTTGTAAGCATTTTAAATCGCCCAACTATAGTTTCACAACCTTTGAGTAATATTTACCTTACTATGCGATATGTATCCTTATTTTTTTAAGCAGTCATTGTACTCAAGGCGTTTCGTTTTATTTTGTTGATCGCATTCCCTGCAGTCCGCCGAATTACTATTCGCCGTGTTAGAGTTAAGGATCAAATCCGCCTTATTAGATATTTTCTCCTACACTCATTGTGTATTCGTGGTTTAATCATGTTGTATTTCTAGTGCGAAAGGCCGTTGCTACACATTATACGTTGTATTATTTCTGCTAATATTTAATTGGATATTAACTACGTCACTTTCTATTGTTATAATTTTTTTATTCATTTTTTATTCAACTTACTCGAATGCACTACAAATATCATAAAGCACAACCGAAAACAAAGCTTGTCGTACCTACACAGTTGATGAGTTCTAGTTTCTAAATACGTTTTATTTTGATTATATAACGGTGAAGAGTACAATTATTGGCACCTTAAGAATTTGTTTTTGCCTGTTATTGGTAACTAATTTGCTCCATCACGACATCGCATTGTGAATAATCAAATAAATAATATGATAACACAAATATTAACAATAACACAGTATCAGTGTAACCATTGATTTAAAAGAAAATATCCATCGTAAGATTCATAATCAAACATTATTTATTAAGATTTATTTACTAACATGATTTCTATACGAAGAATAAAATTGCTTGGTGCCATTAATAGTACACTTTACCCCACTGTCTACCATACACCATTAGACATATTTGCTCCTCAAGAATACATTATTAAACGAAGAATTGAATCGAATCTTATATTTTACAACTATTTAATATGTATACCGTTAAATTATTATTGTTTTATCGTTCTTTAGTTAATATAAATGTCTAAAATGTGTTAGCAGTACTATATTATATTGGACTACGTTCCTTAAACCAATTCGTTAAAAATATACAGGTATACTATATTTTGCAATTAATTTTTCTTTTTTCTTTTGATTATTATAGTTTAATCCTAATTCAGTAGTTTATTAGTTCTAACTCTTTAGATCTTTTGTCACAGTTATTTACGTCATTTCTAGACTATAACATAATTGCATAATTAAATAATATAATCTATAGAATGTTATAGTATTTACAACGTCATACCGGAAATGAGCTTGTTATGAACATATTTTAAACGAAATACTCTTATCTAAATACTCTTCTTTTATAAAGTCTACACAATTTTCAATTTTAGTTTAAATTGTAGTATGTGACGCATGGGGCTTCCGAACAGAGGCATACTGCTATAATGCTATATAGCTATTAGCTATACTAGTTACATACTGCAATAATGTAATGATTTCATTCCATATAAAATATGACATTTTTAAATTAAATTAATTTATGTAAAATAAATTCATAATATTTAGATAAAAAATAAAAATAGCATTATAATATTGTGTGATATGCTATTAGTGCTCTCATCCTTGTGTTGATATTTAAAATTATTTTTTTTCCCGTAAAATTATAGTATATTATATAAAAGGTGCAGATTGATTTTTTCAACAGTTATAATATCGTGTATGCTTAATACCTTAAACGATTTCATATGCAGCTTTAGTCAATACTCGTTGTTTTTTTAGTTATTAAAAACAACACTTTTTACGTAGTGTTATTTAAATTAATGTTCAAATGAATACAAATATACTGTTTGTATTTTGAATAATTCAATTAATGGGGTATTTCAAGAAAAAATAAGGAAATTAATCAAAGACAATTTGTAAATAATTGGAAACATGATACTTGGTGAATTGTTTTCGTACAATTCAATTGATGTCAAATATACTTTTTTTTAACTATAAAAAATAAATTTGAAATAAAAGATTAATACATTTTTGAATCTTATTAAAAGAAAAATGTCAACCACAGTTTTATAAAATGATTTTAATAATTCTCAGAGTAAATGTTGTATAATTTTTAATGTATTAAAAGGCTGGAAATGTTTCTTTATAATATTTTAACCTGAGCGCAAAACGCATCCAACGTTTTGTACTTATATCGGATATGCGTTAATATAATTGTAATTTATAATATTAAATAACGTTTTCACTCGGTGAACCAAATACACACAAAATATAATACAAAATGGTTTTTAATGTTCTTTCACATGAGATAAAAGTGCATGGGAAGTAGTTTCAGATAGTATTCAATATATTTAACAATATGCCATATAGTGTTTAAAAGTTGCATATTTGTTTAATCAATGTTTATTAATAATTGTTAACAATGTGTTTGTTTAGGTATTTACTATTTAGTAAATAGTTTGCTCAGTGTAATAGAATATGGGTATACTTTATATTACATTATAAATATTAAATGTTTACATTTCCTATTACAAATACAAACTTTTTCGTTTCATTTTTTTTCGCATTGTTTTCATTTTGTTTTTTAAATTGGACATGTCTGAAATTTGACATTATTTTGGGGTGTGTTTTAAGTAAACTCAATACTCGGATACCACGTTTATTTAATGTATAAATAAAATCCAAAAAAATGTTTGCGTTTGAGTATTTATCGCTTGTCCTGTTGTGTAAGAAGTTGCATGGAACTGTATATAGTTAATACGAATACCATTAATAATATTGTCGGGGGACGAGGTGACCGAGTGGTCTGACTCTTCCGCTGCGACGCAGCCGGTCGCTGTTCGATCCTCGGCCACCGGGCGGCATTTTTCTCCGGACAAGTCGCGGTGACCGGAGAGCAAGTGCTGCCATCCCCCACCCCCGGGGCATGGCAGAAACCTACGGGTGCCCCATTCGAAATTCTGCCAAAACAAACACACACGTGTTCCCCCTACCGTTCCAAAAACCTACAAACCATCAATACAAAAACCTACAGGTACCTACTAATAGCTAATGGCCACAGTTGCCGGGCTCAGGATCAATTAAAAAAAAAAAAAAAAAAAAATAATATTGTCGTGTGTGTTGCTGATTGTAATTTGTCGGTTATTGAGGGAAAATGTTGTGTGATATTAATATATTATTTATTATGATATCGATATTGCCGTATTTAAAATTCTCGGCCAAATTCAGATATAGTAATAAAAATTATCATTTTTCAATAACTATTGTAATATTATTAAATTCATGTTTTTATAAAACTAAATATCAGTGAGAATATTATGATGATACTCTTGTCACAATTGTGATAACATTACAGCCTCTGAAGGAATTTTTATTTATTTATTGGTTATAATTCATAAAAAAAAACTGTCGAGTGTATTCATTATTCCTCAGCTAACCTAACCTAACCTAACCTTGTGTGTATAGAATCAGTAACACGTGTATAGATGTTAGCGGTTAATTTAGTTTTATAATTTATTAGTGTAGATTTCGGGTTAAATAGCGTTGTTTATATTTGATTTTAAAGTCAAAACATGTCGTGTATGCATAACGAATATAAAGTACACTCACCAGAAGGATATTATATGGCAGCCAACAAACAGTGAACGCTATGACCACAGTAACCATCATTTTTATCATCTGAAAAAATCGAAAACAAAATGTGACAGTTTTGAAAATCGTAACTACTGTCGGAAGCGTTACTTTTCTCTTCGACTTGGCCATCCTAACGTCTCTGGAGTTCTGCGCCTCCCCCGGAGTCCTTTTGCCCCACACCACCACCCCGATGTTGACATATGTAAATAGTAGAACAGCGAATGGTATGCAATACTGAAGCACCAACAAAGCTACATTATAGTAATGTCGGACTTCCTCGCTTGACCATTTCTCGTTGCAAATATAGAATCCGCATTCCTATAACGATTGTTAGAAATAATTCATCAATTAATGACTATAATAATAACGAATAAGGATGGCTGTAAATCGACAACCATTTACGTGTGGGGGCAGAATAACTTAGTGAATGAATAAAAAAAAATAATAAAAAAAATAAATAAATAAATAAAAACATACAATTATTATGATGTGATTGACCTAATTTGCAAAATATCGTAACTCCATAATGACCTACCTACTTTACGTTAAGAACAAATTAAAACATCTCACACTAGTTCCGTCTGGCTGATTCGCAGATACCATAACTCCATAATGACTACTTTTCAGGAAGAACAAAAAACATCTCATTTGTTTAAAAACAGTTTTTTTTGGTCCTTGATCCAGAGTCTAGATTCTAGACGATATTATATTATATTTCAGTTGATATCAATAATTTAATAAATAAATAATATTTGATCAAAAGTTATGACGATACAACAATAATTTACTTTAGTTGGAGTAGAGCGAATTTCGTCAGAACTTTAACGGCTGATTCATGGAACAGAAAGTGTCTTTTCAGGGTGAAAATGGTTTTAAACAATGCATTATTTTTTTCTGAAAAGAAAAATTAATAACCTCAAAATCACGGTTTTGGAGTTACCATAACTGCGATTTAAGTCGTCGATATAATATTATGGGGGTAACCGTCAAGGAAAACACATTTTTACAAGCTTCCACGCATAACATGATATGGAACTTGTTTGTTGAGATTTCGAAGAGCATTTAGGTACCTAATATTAGTCTTTCGCTATGATATTATATTGTTATTGATACTTTAAAAAAATACAAAACAGATAATTTATTATCAATAATTTAATAATGTCAAAAATATAACGGTGGGGTGTTATTATTGTTTGGAGAATCTGAAGTTTTTGTTTGATGTGAAAACTAATAAGAAAAACTATTGTTATTTCTCCGCGTTTGTACAGAACTTTCATAGAGAACTTACAATCTATCTTTGCCATATAGATACGCCGGTTAATAGATAGGTGGGTAGCGTGAAAAGTTATTTGTCAACAAAAAGTATATAGTTTACTATCGCAATAAAATCACTTTTAGAAAACGCATACTTTTATGTTTTGTTTTTTTTCCCACAATTTTTCAACCGAGTTGTTATAATACTTGTTTAACTTATCAAAATGTATTTTCAAACTTTTATATGTTCTTTATATATGTATATACACACATACCTATGAGATTTTATTTCCAAACCCCTGTGCCGTATAATATAATTTGTTTAGTTTTTGTTTGATATTAATAAGAGTATAGGCACGGAAATCAATTGGAAATATTGTCAGCTACTATTTTTAAAAATCCCCTTTACAATGACTGTTGGACTTTCGGAGAAGATTCGACAAACTTTTGGGGGCTTAGCCACTTAGGTCCTACCTGATTTCCACCCATGAATACGAGAATTAATTTCGTCTACACGTCCATGCCTCCGAAAAGCTAATAAATTTTTTTGATTTTATTCGAATACACGAACGAACATAATAGTGTGGTGTTATCAGCGTTGGAAAATTACCAAATTTAAATATCAAAAAATAAAACCAGACACTTCTGAATTGAATGATTACTCGAACCTAACTCAATGCAGTAGGATCACATATGAGAAATATATGATTGTACAACACATGTGCTATAATTATTATTGTACCGAACAATATGTGACAACGGTAAGACTTTTTTCGCGAGTAATGAATATCGGCGGTGTTGCATATTATAGCTGGTAATCAATGTTTTCTCATGAAAACTGTTTTTCTCTACAAGTGGCGATATTGATTTGACGTAGGTTTTGATTTGTTTACATTTTTTGAGAGTTACACGGCTTGAATAGGAAGTGCACCGTCTGGTTTTATAATAATATAACCTGTGCCACGAACAAATTAATTCAACAAAATAATATTATATGTGTTAACACGGTATTATAACCTGATGCCAGTACGACGGCTGTTCCAGTGTCGAAACCAGGAGAATCGGAAACGCTGTAATCACGGCCACAGTCCAGACTAATGCAATTATATATTTGGCGTGATGTCTGCTGGCCCTTGGTTTCAGTGGCCACATGATCGCAATATACCTGTCGACGCTAATTGCCACCAGCGTGTATGCGCTCACCTGTACGAAACACAGAACAATAACATTAGTCGTTGGGCAGTCGGTGTTTAAATAGTCATTAGTCATTACCGAAGACTCATTAGGTGAATTATATTTTACGATACGGCAAGTCGATTCATTTACGTCTCGTTACGCGAACGAGGTAAACAACGGAAACATCGAGTAGGTGTGTATCCGATATTTGTTACAGCCCAGTTTTAAGCAAACGATTTTTTTTTTCTTTTACATTTAATAACAATCATATTATTCCATCGGTATTATCGTACTAAATAAATAAATCGTATTGATAACGCCGTTTATAATATTTATCACTCCAAAGTTGAACAAAACACGAATCATTTTTAGTTTATGTCGGTTGTCATAATGTTTTGACGGTACTGTTCTTACAACACTTAACTTTTTGTTATTGCACTTTATTGTATAATTTTCACCTCTTACCGCACCAAAGATCACAATAGTCCTGCTACTTGAGCCCTTTGCTGAATGGACCATACAGCCAACTCCAAAGGTTGCCCGATATTCAAACATTTTTTTCAAAAAACATTTCTCCCCAAACAATGCCACTATGACCACCATACTCAACTCACGGCCAAAATGTATGTGGATGCGTGTAAAAGCTAACATACATCCATGGAACCCATTTCCGGTATTATTTACCAATTCATATCTAACCTGAATGCCATAATCAGCCCACTAACTGCACTCCTCTCGGATGTTCTAAATAGACTCACTGCCAAGAATGCTATCTGAAATTGTTCTTCTTATTCAATTTTTCCTTAATCTTATCTCACCTGTTTATATTACACTAACACTACAAATACCGCATATTATGTAAGTTCAGTAGTAAATAGTATGTATATTATTACTTATTATTATCAGGTTCTATAACTGTTGCAACTATTGTAATATTAAGTCTTTATATGATTTACCCTTAATAATTGTATTCGTCTATATTGTTCGTTTCACGTATTGTAACAACACCCCGATTTAATTTTATTATTATGTAATAATTGTCGGATAATATTTTTTCTTGTTCCGGAAAAAAAATATATTCAATTTTTTATTTTCTCCGTACAACATAACAAATTGATTCAGAACAATTTACGTTATAATTTTATAATTCTTTGATTACAAATAACACAATTATCGTTTATTATTTATAATTTATTTATGAGTGTTACGGCTAATTAACTTTGATCACTTGATTTTAGATTAGCAATGTTCGATTCGAAATTTTAAAAAGTTCATAAAGTTCTGCGGTTTGGAACTTTTGACAAACGAAAATGCCACATTGAAGTGCTGTAATTTCAATTTTATTTTTCAATAAGAAATTGTAGAAGGTTATGTCAAAGTATATGCGCGTATACCTATGTAAAATGTAAAATAGCATATAAATATTTCCTTTAACTGAGAAAAAAATAACTCAAGAGATTTGATATATTTAATTAAATTATGTTTACGTACAAATGTGTACATTTGTTAGCACTTAATAACATTTTGAATTTTTATAAAAGATTATTTTTCTGCGTCTGTTTGAAATTTGAATTTTGGTATAGGTACCTGCACATTTAATAAATGCTTTATAGTTTATCGCCATTAAAGTTTTAATGAATTATTTCGAAATCTTGTCATTGTTTTTAGAATACCATGGTTTCTCACAATAAAAATCACTATAATACTCTGGTTTACGTCACTATGAGTGATGCGAATCAAGTGATTAATCACCTACCATGCTATGGGTACTTTGTTTGTTTTCTGCTTTTACCAACGAACATAATTATTTTTATTTTTGAATATTTATAACAAATCTCCTAAGGTTGTATGACACGTTCGGTCCTTAATGTACTCGGAGTTTCAAATGTCAAAGTATTATATAACTGGAAATACTCTAAGGATATAATGCTTAAACTTTCATTAAGGGCTAATGCGTTTTAAACTATACATATTGTTAGTTTAAAATGTAAACCATAAGCTCTAAAATAGGACTCATAGTTTTAATTTGTGGCTCGCCATTCTTAATGCCTATTGAATGTGATTATTTTCAAGGCATACATAATATATATTGTATCTTATATGGTTTGACGCTGTGTTTATTTTAATAAATTGAGGTTCTACAACTTAGCCATCGCTTTTCAATTTTGGGTTTGCACTTTGTTAACGTATGCGCAATAACACGAAATGAGCATTTAGTTTAGGTGACTGTTAGCCTGAGTCACCAATTTCGAACGTTGTCCACTTGATGAAATTCACTTTGCTATTCTCTAAAAATTTGTTTGACAATCAGCCATTTGAAATTTTTGCTTTACGTGTCTCCTACTAAAGTGATAGTAGAGGATAGCACACAATTGATTAAAGATAATTTAAAAACAAAAATCTACAGTACAGCATATCTTGAGACGTGTAATAACAAAAAATATGTTTTACTTTTCATCATCTTTTTAAAAGTCAATATTGGACGTTTTGAAATGTCACACTGCAGTGGTGTACTTATTTTGCATATACAGCACGCCGTCATAAAAATGATGCAAAAAATAACCTGATGGGATAGGAAACTCGATGAGAACTCGGGGATAGCATATTGGTATAATATTATAACTATTGTACGATTGAAAATAATTATCAAATTGTATTGCGTTGACAGAAAAACGATATTATCTTGAGTTGAGCTATTTACTAAAATGTACGTTGGACAAACTTGCCATCTTTGATATTATTACTGATTTATTGATAATATACTTACAGTCTTATAAAAGATACGTTTTTAAAGTATTTAAATACTGACACAGATAATTATTTTGAAGATTATTTGGATACTCAGTAAAAAATATTTATGTGCAAATGCAGAAAAATGTTTTAAAAAGTATTTAAAGACACTTTCAAATACTATCCGATTGTTTACATGACATTTTTATCCTAGCACAAATCAACTGAACCAATTTTTTTACTAATTTTCATATCTCACATTAATTTGATATAATATTTTAGAGTATTATTTGGTTTATCCGGAGTCTTGGTCAAGGTATTTTAATTGTAGGTTAGGGTTAATAATTCATCCGAAAAAATAAATATTTTTATAATATACTACTATTGTGTGTTGTGATAATTTTTTTTTTATATTCGACGTGATTGAATTGAAAACAGAAAACATATTATATAGACCAAACAAGAAAAGTATTTGAAAACGAGTGTTTGATTTTTGTATACAGAAACTCCGAGAAAATATTTAAAACCGTTTTACTCGAGACGAGTACACCTCCAATGTACCCGCATCATTACAAGACTGGATGATATTGTGCCATACACCGTCGTCGTCGTCGTCGTCGTCGTCGCATAATAATAACGGCGTGTAACGTATCGTTCGTATCGTCTTACACACGTGAAATTGTGTCGGGACTAGGTATGCCTAGGAATGCGCCCCTCGTTGGATTTCGGCAAACAGGGATATCGCGTTGCGCTAAATCAAATCGATGGAGCGGAACCACTCAAGACGAAGTCTACGGTCTTAACTCGATGTTTCGCAGACAATATGTATTCGCACGCGGCTAATGGAGTCGAGCCCATATAATACGTTAATGCGCACTAGTTCGTACGTAGACGTGTACTTATTTCGTATCAATTATGCCGTGTTCGCCGAGACTCCTCCTACACGGTTTTGACGTTCGACGGAGCGGCGCCTAGCTCATTCGTGCCGTGTTACGGACGGGACAGGTAACATAATAATAATAATTAGACGTATATCGTTTAATAATATTCTAATGACGCACAATCGGAAACGTATACTGTGGCGAACGATCTAATCGAACTCCGTGTGCGCTATTGTTTAGAATTTTTCGTTTTTTTGTCGTCGCATTTTCCGGTCGCCACCGGTGGAAAACGCGATTCGTACGAAAAAGCGTGCGCCGGGAAACGGCCGATTTGACAGGCGTGGAAAAAGAAAACCGCAACAGCTGCCGAGTAAAAACAAGGAAACCCGAGGTCATAATAATAATATTATCAGTACAACTACACAACACAAACACACATGACGGATTTGTCACGTCATGTCGGCACGAAACCCGTCGTTTTCACCAGCGTATATTTACACACGTAATATCTGTTGTGTGGGTACGAACAGGACCTATACCGACACGCGCCCACTGACGTCGTCCCCGAGCTTTAAATCAACGAAACAAATATTGCGGCAGCATATTATTATTATTATTATTATTATTATTGCTACGACTGCATGGATATCCCTTTGCGCCTCGAATATCCTTTTCCACCGCCACTGCGTCTCCGCGGGTATTGTTATTTCGGTCGAGTATTCCGCTCTAGCGGGGTCCTAGTCCGCCGGCTTATTATTTCGACCTTTACATACGCCGTTATATTATATTTAGTTTGTTTTGTATACGCGTGAAAAGCGTAAACCGCAAAAGTCCGTCGCCGGCACGGTACGCTGCTGTTTGGTTTGTATAATATAATATCATATTTTACGGTGTGCACAGTCGTGTGGTTACACGAATGTGTTTAGTTTCGGACTAAAGGATGTCGATTTTCCACCCTGCACCGAAGTCCGACCGAACGCAGCCCGTCAAGGGCCTTATCAGGAGGACGCACGAACGCACTGCAAAGTGGAAAATATAGTTTGTGTTTAAGATTTTCGATTTTGTGCCGCGACATTCATAAATATAGAGTCCATTGACCAGCTATAATCAAACTCGAGGGAATAGTGCGCCCGGGTGACACCCAGCTGAAAAAAGCAGCACAATAATTATGCACTTTTTAATCCATTTTTTTTTCACCCCCCTGGAACAATGCCGACGGTACGCTAACGAAAATAATAATAATATACTTTTAAGAGGAATCTACGCCCATATATTATTTTGTCGTCTCCGTCCTACAAAATATGTATACAATGTATCGACAACTGTTTTTTTGCGAGACGACTAAATTCCGTATGCATTTATGATTTATAGAAGAATTACCAAAATTACACTACGCGCAGTGAAGCACTTGAACTG